GATATAAATATCTTATATTTTCAAAATAACAAAAAGAATAAAGTGCTTATCACTATGGTTAGAGTACGTATGAAATGCGATGCACCTCAATTTACTCCCAATGATTATGTTTATATTATGCAATATCATGATATAAAGCCAAGATACAAAATTTTAAAGGAGTTATTGGATAAATATAAAACATCATCAAAACGTATTTATCAGATTTGGAGAGGGAAAAAAGCTAATAGAGTTCTCTGAGATCAACCTATACCCTACTCATATGATGATGATGATGAATCAAATCGAAATACTAAGTGTCTTGATGTAAACCAGCTTCCAGCTGTTACTAGCTTCTCTAATATATCTGATTCTACCATGAATGTCCTCCATATAGAATCTCAACCTTTAAACAATGTATCAGTAGACTCTTCAAGCCATTGCTTTGCAATAGAATCAGCATAACCAAATAAGTGAACAAAAACAAAGAAATCCAAGCCTGATCGAATATCTAATCCACTTGTTATTTCCAAGGACTCAACAGAAAAAATAGATGCAGATACAGTTGCCTAATTTAGATGTGCAGTAGGTGAAAGTAGAAATTTAGCAAATTCAGAGTATAAGATCGATGAGACATAGACTCTAAACTTTATCCATTCTTCTTTCTATTTTTTTCCATATAATATTTAATAAGGGTATTGAGATTGACAATAATTTTAGTTGCCTCATGCATTTCTTTCACATACCTCTCACAATTTACGCATTTTTTTTTAAAGTCGAATTATCAAAATCTAGGTTAAAACCCGCAGGAGCATGCCATTCTTCCAATGGATCATTATCGCTCTCATTACTATTCGCCTCTTGAGAAATTTGATCAGATATCAAAGGCTTATCATCTTGAGATGCAGTAGCGCAGTTTACTTCGAGCTTATTCTTGACTTTATGCATAGTTACTGGAATAATGTGATCCTTCCCATTGAAAGGAATTTTCAATTTATCTTTTCCCCAATCTATAGCACATTTATATTTCTTGAGAAGTGGATTTGGAAATATCAATGTTGATTTAGGAATGCGTACAACTACAAAATCTTCACGTATAATAAAACCTGGAGGGAATATTATTGGAAAATTACGAGCAATATCTATAGATTCTGTTGGAACTGTTGCAACACCACTAAGATCATATTTTTCTGATTTATCAATTGGCCAATTTATATGTTTAACAATATCTTCTGATGTAATTGAAGATTCAGCCCCACTATCGAGCACCAATGCTGGAATTTTTAAGCATTTAATTTTACACGGTATAGTTGCAATACTTGTGTCAGGTTCTTTATGACGAACAAAATCTATCTCCATAGGATCATCCAGCGTCTCCTCTTCACCATCTGATTCTGGTATCTCTGTTATTAGTTCTCGATAATTTACAAAATCTGAAGTAGTTAAGTATTTATCTTCAGATTTAAGTTTCTCTAACTGATGCGGGAGTAAGACCTTTTCAAGCATATCTAACAAAATTCGACGAATATTTTGCTCAAGGGTAGTCATTTTATTTTGAGACTTACTAGAGGTGGCAACACCTTTCTGTTTAGTCTTATAA